GCCAGTGTAGTATGGGATAAGGTCATTGCTTCAAATAGTGAGAGTAATTGTTAAGGAGTCGTAATATAATTGGTAAAAATCGATTTTGATTGAATTTTAACTTAAAATGAGTTATTATGAATAAAATTGATTGAGTTGGATGAGTGATCCTCAAAGTGAGTTAATTTGAAGAAAGTTGATTGATTGAGTTGGAGAGAGATTATGTAACTAAATATAATTTTTAAAATGTAATAGTTAAAGGTGATATGATGTAAAATATGTTAGTAGATAAATAATAAATTTAAATTAATGTGATGTAGGAGAAAAATGATTTGAATTATTTAATTATATTGATGATAGTGATGTTGAGTGAAACTTGAGTTAGATTTTGAGTTGAAATGAGTGGAAAAAAATCTTGTCTATTATGACTGTTAATGAGTGCGTACCAATCACCTCTAGATTTTTTGGAGTTGTATCGAAAATACAAGGTAAAATATCGATCAAAAATTAAATTAAAAATAAAATATATAAAATAAAGAAGAAATTGATTATTAACTTAAAAAAAAAAATGAAACTTGAATTTATAGTCTTATTTTTATTTTCTATTAGTTGCAACATAGTAAATATAATAGTTATTTCATTATTTTGTATTTCTCATATTAGATAAAAGATTTATATATGCTATTATATTTGTGGTATTACTGACCATATTATCGATCGAATTGCTATTGTTCGCATTGCTACTCTATGAGCTAAGAAATAAGGTCGCAGCTTGCGTACCGCAACATCCAACGCGAACTTTCTGGATATCGTTGTACCTAAGACCCTATTCTTTGTAATAATTGGTTGGTCTAATAGATCGGCCTCTGCTCTCAGTAATGCCCATATCATCTACATAAACATGACCGTTTGTGTATATGTTATATAGGGATTTAATCTGGTGACATGTTTAATAGTTATTATGAATGGATCCAATTACATACAATTATAAGTTCTCAAAAGCAATCCACAACCAGCTTTCTCTAAATAATAATAATAATAATAATAATAATAATAATAATAATAATAATAATAATAATATTAT